AATGAGCAAAGGTGTGGCCGGACCTGGGACAAAGCCGTCCATAGTTAACAACCATCTTTGGGAATATCTACCATCCTTAAGCGTTCCCATTTTTATGGGTTAAATACCCTTTTCTGCTCCCCTGACTCCTAAAGGAACAACCTGACAGAGGCTCACTGGGCAGAAGGGGAAGGAGAGGTGGACAGGTGGAGCTTCTCACGTTACTATAAAATCTGAGCTCGCTCCATCTGTGAAGGAGGCTTATCCACTAGATGGCGGTAGAACTAGTCATTTGGTACAAAACAAAGCTAAATTCTTAACCTCCCTCACTGCTTCTATCAATATTTATTTCAGATGGTTCAAAGATTCAAATAAAAGAAATTAAGATAGCAAAAGTACTTAACAAGCCCTAAAATTTGATACAAGAAGGGGTTTAAAAATATGACATAGAATCTAGAAGCCAAGAAGCAAAGGTTTGGAAAGCTTCCCTACTATCTTCAAAATATATTTGAATGGATGCTATATACAATATACAAGAGACTTTATAAACAAACCAGAGAAACAAAAGGCAAACTAGAGAAGAAGATCTGAAATGCATCTACCAGGACAAAGGTTAATATCCCTAATATACAAAGAGCATCCGCAAATCACTAAGATAATCATCTCTCAGATGGAAAAATGGAATAAGGATACATGAATCAAAAATTCACAAAAATACATACGAATGGCTCATAACATAGGAAAAGATAATTAGTGTGACCAGAAAAATAAATGAATGCAAAATAAATCAGCTAGGAGAAAAAAATTCTTATTCTTTTGGACCATGATTCTGGGTTTATGGCCACCATATATTTTCCTTCCCAAACTTTCCTCCTTGTCCTTGGAACTACAGGACAGAGCCAATAAGCTGTGCTTCAGGGCACCCCAAAAGCCAGTGTTGGAGAGGTGAGCTCAATAAATTACAACACAGCCACACAAAAGAGTGTTATACATGATAAGGCAGAGTTACTCAGAATTTGTAAGCACATAGGGAAATACGGATGCTTGTGGTGGGTGAAAGGACTAGTGCTCAAAATAGTACAAGTAGAACGAAAGCCCTTTCTGAAAATGTGCAAGGGAGAAAGATCTGAAAACCAACCCAAAATGTTCCCACTGCGTTTCCAAGTGTAGCTTTCCCTCCCTTCTACTTTTCTGAATTCTGAAATTGATGGTGCCACATTTAACATTTATCACTGGGAGAAAAATGTAAAACCACTAAACATCATAAAGCATTTTCCTACTTCAAAGACTTGGAACCCCGTTGCCTAAACTGCTCACCCAACGTCCTTGACAACAGACAGACCCTGTGAAACCATCAGCCAGCGCTTCCAGTTCATACAACTTACACCCTGATGTCAACTTTGCAAGGGCAGCTACAACCAGACCCTGCTAAGTGCTTCCACGCATAGTGTATTAAATCCTCATGTCCACCAACCAGCAGCTTCTATTATTATCCCTCTGTTAACCACACAGACATCAGAGCTCAGAGAGGCTCGGACCCCTGCCCAAGGTCACACAGCTCAGAAATAGCAATCACAGGGCCCCACCCAGCTGTGTCTAACACGGCTGCGGCCGAGCCCCTAAACTGATCAGTGTTAACCTCTCCCGAAAGAAGGAACAGGGAGAGACATCCCCTCCCGTATGGGGTCTTTAAAAACCAAAACAAGGCAGGAAAAGACCATTTTGAGACACTCACCTCTTCTTCAGCAATGCTCGTCTGCCTGTCTTCTTATTTACTCTTTCTTTGGTTTTACCATTCTCTCTCTCTCTCTCTTTCAGTCTCTCTCTCTCACTTTCTCTCTCTCCCTGCTTTTAACTAATCACTCAGTTAACAAGTTGGCTTTCTGAAGGTTGGGTCGGTACCTAGTGACTCCGAGCACGATAAAGAAATCAGCCGTCACCAATACAGAAGTCAGAAAGGTTTAAATCAAATCATCCTCCACAACAATGACATTAATTATGCTTTTAACACGTTTTACTGCTTTTTTTCTCACTTCACGCCACATCTGTGTGAACAATATCCAAAAGATTTACGGTTTTCTTTCGTAATTACAGACATACAGGCTGCACACTTATCAAAATACTTGCTGAGCAATCACGCTCTATCGCATTCTCTGCCAAAGATTTGTGTTGGCAGTAGTCATTCAAAACAAAAATGTTGAATCAGGACTTGTGTGGCTTCGGGGGTGTGTGTGTGTGTGTGTGTGTGTGTGTGTGTGTGAGAGAGAGAGAGAGAGAGAGAGAGAGAGAGAGAGAGAGCATTTCGACAAATAATTTGCCTGTCAAAAAATATAAAAACAGGAGTGTGTGCACCCTGGCAAAAATGTCCAGGAGTGTTATTTTTAAGGAGGGGGTTGAGGGAAACGGGAGGAGGACAGTGAGCTGAGAAGCTCGGAGCCCCCAAAACACATCTGACATTTGGTTCTTGTGTCTGAGGATAAAATTTAATGAGAACAAAAATATGTCTTCCTAATTCCCCTAAGAAATCATTAAAACATTTTGTTATTCTTAAATGTCTTGAAAATGAATTAGAGCCCCTAAAGGGGCCATTCGTACAGCGTCTTCATCCTCACTCTGCGGCTCCGTGACAGCTGGGATGTACGCCTCCCCCACCCCTCCATTTCTGGGGAGCGGAGTTGGGACATCATAGGTGTGGAGTCAGCACTGGATTTGGAAGGACACTTTGGGGAGAGGGGTTAGAGGGCACAAGGACCTTCTGGAAAGTTCTGTGCCCATGTGCCATGTTCCCGACTGGTAGTGTGGTTCTGGCTCTGGTATTGTGTGAATAACTCTATGTCCAGAAAGATGAAGGTCACGTAGGGAACTCCAGAAATGATGCCTGTTTTTCAAAGGGTCTGTAGCCCCTCCTCAGGCCCGAGCAGTAGAGTTGCTGCCGCCCAGGTTTTGGATGACAGATTACTGAAGCAACGGTCTGTCACCTCTGTCTCCTAGAATAAAGCCCCCCAAGGGCTGAGCCGATGCTTGCATCTGCAGACCCTTGGCTTGTTCCCAGAGTCTAGTGAGTGGGAGGAGCACAGTAGGTACTCAATAAGTGCTATCCCAGCTAGTAAACATGTGACAAGCAGAGGCTTTAGTTGAAAAAGTGCCTTTCAAACAAACAATCCTTTCTTTTCTGCACCCGAGTCTTATCTCTAAATCAGCCAACAAGCAATTATTAGGCACCACTGTGTACTGGGTTCTGAATATACAAATTTGGTATGACTCAGTCCCAGGCTTGGAGAATTGCACATCTCCTAGGGAAGCCAGACATGTAATTGATAATGAGAGTAACCAATACTTAGCAGGTGTATATTATGGGCCGCACACACTGAAGCCTCACAACTGTACACAGGTGCTGATATTAGTTCCAGACTACAAAGGCGGAGACTGATGCTCAGCGAGGTGAATTAATTTAAGTTGTACAGACGGGTCTGGAACCTGATAGGAAGTATGCGCCATCTCAGGGCTGCCCCCTGGAGTTACAGACAAGGTACTGCAGGGTCCGGTGGATGAGCCCCCGTGGGGGCTCCGAGCAAGCACCTCTGGGGTTTGCACTGAGTTACCTTCCAGTGCACTTGTCGCTGAAACTACAGGACCCGAAGGACTGAAAAGGGTGGGAAATAAGAGGGTATATTTTTCTAAATTTTTCCAGATACCTCTGCTGAGGGTGAGATATTTATAGGCAAAAAGGTGGATAGGAACCCTATGAAGGGACATCAAGGACCCGATAAAGGACTGGGGGCTGTCTGGGTGCAAGGAGTAAGCATAGCGGGGTCTCCCCCAAGCTCCACTAGTGCTAAGCAAACTACTACCTCTGGCTCCCATTCTGGGTGGCAGAGGATGGGACATCGGAAAAAAGGGACACTTTGCAGACGTATATAATGTATCAACCGATCTTAGACACACAGGTGAATGTTCTCAGACTGCCACAGCTCTGTAACCCACCCAGAGGTCCTTTTCAGGAACTCATGGCCCCTCCCTGCCCCCCAAGAGTATACTCTCTCTTGACTTCTAATGGTACAGGTTCAATTTTTTTTTAAATTGAGGTAAAATTTCTGTTAAAATGAAACTTACCATTTTAAAATGTACAATTCACAATTCAGTGGTTTTAGTACATTCACGATGTTGTGCAATCACCATCTTTACTTAGTTCCAGAATCCTCTCACCTGCCCCAAGGGAGTCTCGCACCCATTAACAGTCATTCCCTATTCCTTCCCCCAGCCCCTGGCAAGCATCAATCTGACTAATTTCTCTAGATTTGCTGTTTTGGACATTTCAGGTAAATGGGAGCCTATGCTGTGTGACCTTTCACGTCTAGCTTCTTCACTCAGTGTCGTATTTTTGAAGTTTATCCACATTGTAGCAGATGTCCGCACTTCATTCCTTTCGTGGCTGAATAATATTCCATCGTATGGAACTGATCACATTTTATCTTTCTATTCATCTACTGATGGACCTTTGGGTTTATTCCCCCTTTGACCATTGTGAATAGTGCTGATGTTGATTTGTGCCTGTTTTCACACTTCATGTCGATGGAGTCATATAGTACACACTCTTTTGGGTTTGACTTACTCTCCACATCAAGCTTTTGAAGCTGAATGTGTCACATTGGGGGAAATAGTTCTGGTCTTTTCTCTAGCGCCTTCTGCTGGTGGAGCCCTGGGCACCTTCTGCCCTTTATGGCAATGGGGTTGGGTTTTCTGCACATAAGAGATTCAGTTTCCCAAAAAGGTCCAGATGGAAGAGCTTGCCGGGAGCTCCCCAAAGCCTCTAAAGTCAATGGGGGGAAATGGAGAAGCCATGTGCAGACATGTCACATTACACTGGGTGTAGATCCCGAGACCCCCACAGTCCCACTCATGGAGGGTCCAGCCTCATCCGGAGGTCTTGGCTTGTCCCCAGACCCCACTGTGAGGAAGCCCCGTGTGATGGTCTGAACGGCAGTTTCTTGTTCATTATTTATGGTTCCAGTGGTTCTTACCTGGCGCTTCAATCAACTGCTTGTAAACACTCAGGAACGCGGCCTCAGCCTCCTGACTTCGCTTACTAAGGGCCACCACCTTCGGAAACAAGAGAGAGAGTCACGTGTCACCATGGCATCTGAGTCTACAAGCAAATCTGATCAATTCCCACATGGACAGACGTGGGATGGAGGGGAGAGGAAACGGAGGGTCACAGTGTGGAGTCAGTGAGTCCAGGTTCAAACCCCAGCTCCACGCAACCCCGCCACTGTGTGACCTTGGGCACATCACCCCTCCTCTCTAAGCCTGTTTCCTCATCTGAAAAATGGGGCTAAATGACAAAGCCAACTGCCGAGGGTTGTTCTGGGCTGACAAGAAGCTGCATGTGATTAAGGGTTAGCACAGAAGTGCTTGATAAATGCCCTTGACTGTTGAATACACGGTCAACTGGGTGACCCAGTGGTGATGAGCTACCCCCACACGCCTATTCGAAGCTCTTTCTGGGGCTCAGCACTATCTCATCCTCCACTCCTGACTATGATTCAGGATCCTGGCTCTTGGTGGCCAACCCCCGTGGCATAGGCCTGGGGTGCTCCTGGCACCCACCGGCTCCCTTTCTTATCTCCTCAAGGAACTTATGGGACGGAATGACTTTACTCTCCCTGCACCCATCTACCTCTCCCGCCTCACAGTCCAAGTGATGAATCTAGCGGAACACCTACTTGTCAGTGACTTGTCTTCGGAGCTGGGTTTTTCTTACGAATCCCAGTGAACCCCACTTGGGTGGTGTATGTGTGTCTGTTTTTAATTCCTCCCAGAACGAAGTTCTGTGAGCACATTCTCTAGCGCATACATGGTGCTCAACATTATCTGTTGAATGAACAAATCCAAGGGGGTTGCACTAACTCGGGTCCCGTGACACCACCCTGGAGAAACAGCAGGGGCCAGTCTTGCGATGCTCCATTCACAGAGGCAGACTTGAGTAGCAGAGTGAAACCCCAGTTTCACCACTAAGGAGCTGTGTGCCCTCAGGCCGGGTGGTCACTTCAACCCCTGTACCTTGACGTCCCCTTCTGTAAAATGGGACAAACATGACATCCTCCCTCAGAGGGCTGCTGGGAGATCAGGCCATTTAATACAGGGAGGATTCCTTGCAAAACTCGAGACATGCATCAAGCCCTAGAATATCTCTGGGTATGAAGGACCCTTTCCTTCTTGCCTGCAACTGAGGTTCGGCCCAGGGCTGGGTGATGAACCTCACCCGCACTCCTCTTTGGCGATATGAGAAAGTCCCCATGTCCAAGCAGGGTGGCACACTCTGGGAAGAAGCCTGAAGTCACAGTGGTTCCTCTAAGGCTTCCAACAGGGCAGACAGGAGCTGCACGTGGTCCCTAAGTTCTGGAAACGTGGTGGGTTCCAACCGCGGTGCACCATGAAAGCAAACGACGCATCAGGTTTCAAAACTCAGTACGGAAGAGAAAGTACAACAGCTCCCGGCATGGTGCATGTGGATTATTACATGTGGAAGCGATAACATTTCGGATATATTGGGTTGAATAAAATCTATTATTCAAATTCATTTCGGACCTCCCTGGTGGCGGCAAGGGGTTAGGACGCAACCTATGAGGCGATCCACAGCCCCTGCAGCGCGACTTTGATCCCCAGCCCGCCAGGGAGCAGCCCACATGGCGCAGCAGACCTCTCCTGTCTCGCCCGCTGCTCCCCTCAGCAGTGTGCTTCGGTTGATCTGTCTGTCCTGTTCCCCGCTCTGTCTCTGGTGAATCCTCTCACCCCCTGCACCTCTGGTCTGTACCCCAGCTCTTGTACACTAAATAAATCTTTAAAAAAAATAAAATTCATTTCACCTGATTTCCTTTGCTGGTTTCAATGTAGGTACTATATAGTGTAAAATTACATCTGTGATAACACTATTGTTCAACTGTCAACATGGCTTGAGGTTTTTTTTTGACAAAGTCCATATTGAATATGTACCTCTAAGAGGGGTAGAGAGAAATGTGTGGTGGGTGCTAGGTAAGCGATTTTACAAAGACCAGTAACAAAGCTCCCTCAACACTCCGACTGTTCTGACAATAGTCTCTGGTCTTACCTTCCAGAATGAATGATGGTCTCTCATTCATTCAATGAACACTTTCTGAGCACCTGCTATATGCTCTCGCTCTGGGCTGAGACCTTTGCCATGCAGTCCCACCCTTCTGGGTGCCCCCAGACTAGGGGGGAGACCGACACAAAGCAGAGTCCCCAGAGAATTCTTTCATTACAAGTGCTACATGCTTCAAGGGGAAAGTACTGGGGACTTCAGGATGTGTAAACTGCAGGGAGGCTGACCTAGTTTGTGGGGTGGGACATCAGGGGAAGATGGTGGTGGACAGAAAGAATGTTCTAGAATCTAGGCAAAGGGGACATCACCAAGTGTGGGCAGATTTTTATTATTATTTTTTTAAATTTTTTTATACAATTGCAACCCCCTTATTTTGACCTCAATCCCTCCTTTCCCTGCCCCCGCCCCCATAGTGTGTCTCTGGTTCATAGCTGTTTGTTGATTTTGATTTTTTCTTTCTTATAGTTATTCTCAGATTTTCATTCTTGCACAGATGGACAAGACACAGTTCTTGTTCTGGGGACTGAGAGCTGAGTGGGTGACACAGCTCTACCCAAGGGAAACCCTAACACAGAGGAGGTGAAGCAGACATTGGGACCTCCGGAGGAATGGGAGGAGGGGGCAGATAACAACATTTGGGGGCATCTCAGATAGGCTAATGTTACCACTAACAAACATAATCGGAGTTTACCAGGTTCTCGTTGCTCCGACTATTCACCATCATCTCTCCCCAGGGACACAGCCATGGCTGAAGGCCCTGCAGTCCCAGGCCCACTGTACAGCTAGGGAATCTCCTGTGCTTAGTAACTTGCCCAGCTCGCCCAGGTGATAGTGGCATAGCAGGATTCATGCCAGGTCTGTGGGTTTGAGTTACTGTTCTGAATCCAGACACTGGCTTTTTCCTCCGGGATAGAAAGGCCACCGTGCCAGCCCCAGGGGCAGACACTCAGACCCCATGTGCTGTCCCACAAGGTCACTATGAATGTCCCAGTCAGGGGCTGCCATGCTGGAGCCAAGAAAAGCCATGAGAAGGACGAGTGATTCATTTCCTGATTTTCAGCTAGAGAACAATCACAGTGCAGCCCCCAGAACGTCTGGCTGCTCCATGCTGGGCATAGGGTATCAGGGGCTGGGGAAAGGCTTAGGGCATTTCACTGACTTCTAAGGGAGGAAGCACAGGCCAGAAGATTCCCTTCATGCTTCTTCATCCCTGGTGACAGCACCCTCTACTTTCATGCTCATCAGTATGTCCTGGTTTCTTACTAATCCATGCGACGATCCCCTTTATAGTGTTGGTCTGCCCCACTGTCCAACATGGGAGCTACCAGTATGGGTGGCCACTGAGGACTTGAAATGTGACTTCCAAGTTCAGATGGGTTGTAAATGCATAAAATATGGAATTTCTAAGTCTTAAAATGAAAAATGGAATGTGAACTATCTCAATAATTTTAAACTGATTTTATGTTGAAATAATATTGTGGATAAATTGGGTAAAATATACTATTAGAATGAAGTATACTTGCTCCGTTTTACTTTTCAAAAATGTAGCCTCAAGAAAACTTTAAATTACACATGCAGCTGGTATTATATTTCCACTGAATGGAAATATAATGGTCCTGGTCAAAGGCTGACAAACTGTGGCCCTTCAGTTTTATGTGTAAATAAAACTTTATTGGAACACAGCCACAGACATTTTGTTTTGTACTGGCTATGGCTCTTTCATGCTACAACGGTCGAGTTGCATAGATGTGATGAGGCTTTGGTCACTAAGTTGATCATATTTACTATCTGGTCCTTTACAGAAAATGTCTGCTGACCCCAGTTTTAGAGGCTCATCTAAAGAGAACCTCTAAAGATCAAAAACATCCTGGAACAGTACTCAGCTTGAAAGAGTTCAAGTTTAGGGTTTTCCACAGTAAATATGACTCTTGTAGAGAGGTGCCTGTGGACATCCTGCCTCATTCAATCTTGTTTCAGAGCAGTAACCCGACTGTTTCTAGAAGGCCAGGTGGGATGGCGTTGGGGCCTGATGAGGTATGTCCTTCAAGTGGGGAGATCAATCGCCATCCACTTAAGAAGCTGCAGGGGAGGTATCAGCTGACCTGTGGCAAACTTCCCAAGGAAGTCGGTGAAAATTTTCTGATAATCAGCTGATCTCTCTCCTAAGCACATGGGATGGCTTTGCCAGGGTCTGCAACGAATGCAGCTCCCCCATGTGCTGGAGCAGGTGAGCGCAGCATAAACGAAGGGCCATGTGTTTCTGCCTCCCGGCTGGGCCCTGCCACATGGAAGGGCAGGGGAAAGTGTCCAGAATGACAGATTTGGCTTGTGACGGGCAGATCTTTGAAGGCCATCTGGGGAGAGAGGAGGAGGAGGAGGAGGAGAGGAGGAGGAGGCCAGCTCCAGACACCAAGAAGGTCAGCAACAGAAATAGCTCAGCGCCTGACGGCGGCCCGGCAGCCTGCTGCCCACTGAGCTGGGGGTGAAAATACACTAGGCCCCCGGAGGGAGAGAACAGGTGTGGAGCCTGTTCTAGCCACCCAGCTCCTGTCTGTCAGGTGGCTGAAACCACAAATTGGGGAGCCCCCCACCCCGCCCCAGGCTGGGAGAGCTGCTCAGGCCAAGCTCTTTACAGAGAACGGTTGGAATTTCCAGAAATGGAACCTCCTCTGGGCTCAGTGCTTTGGAGTCTCCCTGCCAGGAGCACTGTCGCTGCTCCCACCTCCCAGAGGCTGCGCTGAGGGCCAGGGGAGCCCTGCTGCCGGCCCAATGACAGAACTGGAGTTGGGTAACCCCCCCACCCCTCCCCAAAGCCCGACAGGGCCACAAAGAGAGGCCGTCACAGATGCCTCGTCACACCTGAGGGGGTGGGTGGCCGGGGTGGCATCCATGTCCGGTGTCCCCTCACGGTGGTCAGGGCCCCAACCTGCAGCCAGAGACTGGCGTTCCTCAACGCGCACTGCACCGTCCCCAGGCAGGA